ACTCATAAGGGTATCCACTTTTTAAGGTAACCCCCGGGTCATTTTCACACCTGATAACATTAATACCCTAATACCATCCGTCACTGCGTTCGTAATCAGATTTCCCCAGTTGTCTCGAAACTGCTTCTGTTCATTCTCTCTCTTTCTCTCTCTCTCCTACTCTGCTTCCACCACTTCTTTGCCCAGCACCTCTGACTCTGTCTCTGCTCTGTCCTCACGTAGCCTTGCCCCATCAACCTCTGATTTGGAGGCTGCTGATTTGCTGCCTCTCTCCCTTCCCTCAGCTGCCCTCCTGTATGGGGAGCGAATGGGTGGAGAGAAGCATGGCTGGGACGGGGGGACCCTGTCCTTGGGGACCTCCCAGACCTGGTGCATCCCGAGAGGGGAGGACTGGGCCCCCTCGGTGGGAGAAGCAACTGGGTGGTAGCCCTTTGTCAGGCGGCTCCCTGGAGGAGGCAGGACCTCGGGTGCCCAGCTGGCCTCGACAGCCTCCCGTCTGCGCTGCCTTCTGCGTCCAGGAGGATACACGGGCCCAGCAACAGCGGCTGCAGAAGCACCTGGCTGAGCATCTCCGCCAGACCTGGGGCCGACCAGGGGCTCCTGCGCAAGCCCGAGACCTGGGAGAGCTGCTGCAGGCCTGGGGTGCAGGGGCCAGGACTGGTGCTCCCAAGGGCTCCCGTTTCACCCACTCAGAGAAGTTCACCTTCCGTCCGGTGAGTGGGTCTGAGTGGCCCCGGGCGGGCTGGCAGGGCCGAGGCAGGCTTGCAGGGTCGCTGTCTGTGCAGACGACACACTTTATCAACACAGGTTCCTGTGTCCCCACTGGGTGTGCCCTCTGTGCGCTGGGGGTCCCCTGGCTTCTCAAGAGCTTCCGTGGAGAAAGGGGGGAGGGGTGGAAACCATGGCAGGGTGTAGGGGTGCTTTGTGCAAACCCCAGCTTCCCCGGACAGTTTCCTTGGACACGTCTTTGCTCCTTGACCTAGAGGGGCCGTCATCCTTCTCGTATCGGGGTCTGGAAGGTTTCTTCATGAGCAAGAACTCCAGCCTGTGGTCTCAGAGTGTCTGGGTCCCATAAACCAGCTCTGACAGCCGTCAGCCGTTGAGTGGACAGGAGTATGGCGCTCGGAGGGGCTGCTGAGGCTGGGCTGGGAGGGGCAGGGCCTTCTCTGACAGCCAGGATACCCCCGTCTCACTCCCCCAGGAGCCCGAGGTCCAGGCAGCCCAGGTGTGCGATGTGCCGGCCCCCTCCCAGCGGCCTGAACAGGTAAGTGGAGCATCGGAGGGGGTTCTGGGCTCCTGCCCTGCCTAGCAGGCCTGACACCCCCGCCCCCACTGGCCTGTCCCTCCCAGGACACGAGGGCAGCCCAAGAGCAGGAGCTGGAGTCTCTTCGGGAACAGCTGGAGGGAGTGAACCGCAACATCGAAGAGGTTGAAGCCAACATGAAGACCCTGGGAATCAACCTTGTGCAGGTGGGGGATGGGGGTGGGGGAGGGGCTGCCCACCTGGGGTTGGATCCTGGCAGGGCCTAAAGGGCCTAGAGGGACTTAAAGGGGCTGAGAGGGCTTGGTGGCAGTCTGCTGATGGCAGAAGGGTTCAGAGGCAACCTTGGGGACCTGTGGGCTCTTGAGGTTTCAGGAGAATCAGTGGGGGTGAGAGGGGGACGTAGGGTCAGGGGCATTGGAGCTGTGGGGGTTAGGGGCACCTGTGGGCTTCAGTCAGGATATGTTGGTGTCTGTGAGAATCAGGAGGGGTGTGAGCATCTGTGAGGGTGCGATGGGTCTGTCTGGGCAGGGGCTTGTGGGCCTTGTCAGGGCTTCCGGGGCAGAGGGAGGGGGTCATTTTGGAGGTAGAGGGATCAGAGGGGCCTGTGGGTGTTTGTCACCATCAGGAGGGGTCAGGGGGCTGCTAGAGCGTGGAGGGGTGTGTTGTCATCTGGGTGCGCTCAAGCTCGTTGGGGGCTAAAGGGCTGTGACGTATGGCTGGGCTCCTCCACCAACAGCAGCGGGGGTCTTGGGGTGCCAGGTAGAGGCAGAGCGTCGTCAGAGCGAGCTCAGCGTGGCGGAGCGTGAGCAGGTCCTGCGCTTGAAGAGCCGGGCGGCGGAGCTGCTGCCTGATGGGGCTGCCAACCTCGCCAAGCTGCAGGTGGGGCTGGCAGCGAGGCTGGGCGGGAGGGCCGGAGGCGGAGGGGTCCAGCCTGTGTGACACGGATCCCCTTGCATCACCCCCAGCTCGTGGTAGAGAGTAGCGCCCAGCGGGTCATCCACTTGGCAGGTCAGTGGGAAAAGCACCGGGTCCCTCTCCTGGCTGAGTACCGCCACCTCCGAAAGCTCCAGGATTGCAGAGAGGTAGGTTGTCAGGTCCCTGGGCTGTGGGTGGGGCGGGTTCAGTTCCTCCCTAGGGGGCCGTCCTTGTGCTGTGCTCACTGCCCCTCTGCCCCTGGGGTCCTGGCAGCTGGAATCTTCTCGACGGCTGGCAGAGATCCAGGAGCTGCACCAGAGTGTTCGAGCAGCTGCCGAAGAGGCCCGCAGGAAGGAGGAGGTCTATAAGCAGCTGGTAAGGCCTGTGCGGGGGCCCTGAGTGGCTTGGATTGGATGGGGATTGGGTCCCAGGAGAGCGTCTGCCATGTTCCTATCTAGGTGTCTGAGCTGGAGACCCTGCCTAGAGACGTGTCCCGACTGGCCTATACCCAGCGCATCCTGGAGATTGTGGGCAACATCCGGAAGCAGAAGGAAGAGATCACTAAGGTGCATCACTGTGGCCGTGGAGGGTTGGGGCCGACAGGCAGACACGTGCAAGGGGCAGAAGCATGTAGCGTGGCCACACAGGGACCTCACGCCCTCCGAAAGGCAGAGCTCTCTAGCCACTGTCTGGGTGTGAGTGTGGGCTCATGGCTGCCCTGTTCTCTGCCAGATCTTGTCGGACACAAAGGAGCTTCAGAAGGAAATCAACTCCCTGTCTGGGAAGCTGGACCGGACATTTGCCGTGACCGATGAGCTTGTGTTCAAGGTGCGGGCCTGGCTGGGCTGGGTCGGGGGGTACAGTGCGTGCTAGGCTCCCGCCTGCCTGTCTGCTCACAGGCTGGCTTGGGCCTCGGCCTGGTGTGAGCCGTGTAGGTACACTGCGGCTTGGGCCCTGCTGTAAGCCATGGAGGGGGACGCCAGGGGAGTGGGAGAGGGTGGACTTGGGGTCCTGGAGGTGGTATGTGTGGGGGGCGAGGGGGAAGCCCACTGGTCCCTTCTGTCTGGTCAGGATGCCAAGAAGGATGACGCTGTTCGGAAGGCATACAAATATCTAGCTGCCTTGCACGAGGTGAGTGGAGAAGGATGCTGGGGGCCGGCCGGGGTGGCGTGTGGTGGGGGTGCAAGCCTTCTGCTCTTGCCGTCCCCAGAACTGCAGCCAGCTCATCCAGACCATCGAGGATACGGGCACAATCATGCGGGAAGTTCGAGACCTTGAGGAGCAGGTGAGGCCCGGGAGTAGGAGGGGAAACCAAGGCAAGCCGGTGGACAGCACCTCGGTTTATGCCCAGAGAGGCTGTGGGAGCAGACATAGCCCATGGCTGGACTCTCAGCCTTGCCCCTTAGTAGCTGTGTGTGTGGCCTGGCACCAGCCGGCGACCAGAGGGCCCCAGCTTCCACCCGGAAGGGCCTTGTACCTGCCTCCCTTGGCCATCGGCGGAGGCTTCAGCCAGAGTATGTGGTGGCTCATGCTGCCACGTTAGCACATGACACTTTAGGCAAACAGATGGCATGTGCAAAGGCCCTGCGTTAGGGCACAGCACGCTGTTGCAGGAGGAGGGTGGGAGGAGCAAGGAGGGGGCCTCAAGCAGCCTTAATGGAGACGGGTGGCAAGCAGGAACTGGGACAGGGGCTCCACACACTGAAGGCGTGCGATTTGCCTTGCCTTAGATCGAGACGGAGATGGGGAAAAAGACCCTCAGCAACCTGGAGAAGATCCGTGAGGACTACCGAGCCCTCCGCCAGGAGAACGCGAGCCTCCTGGGGCGGGTCCGGGAGACCTGAGGAACCGCAGCGCCGGTCTGCTCCTGGCGTGGGGCAGGGAGCTGGGATGTTGGGGTTGCTGGCCAAGCACTTGCCCTAGCCATTCCCTCTGTTGGCTGCGCTCCTCCTGCTGTGGCCTTGGGCCCAGACCCCCGCCCTCCTGACCCCAGCCCTGATCTGGAGTGATCATCCAGAGCATGGGAACGTGGCTGCCATTTATTGGAGAGGGCGCTGGGGTTAGGACCTTGGATCCCAAATAAAGAAGGGGTTCTGTCTGCAGTCAAAGCTGAGGCCTGGATGGGGATGTAGCGTTCAAGGCTGGGGAGGTGGGGCGGGCGGCGGGTGAGACATGGGATCTATCTGGCGATTCCATGGGTGTGGCTGTGAAAGCCCACTTGGGACCCCGGAGACCCACTGGGGCGCCAAGTGCATGTGCATGCACTTGTGATGTCCCTGTGCGTTCTCTTGGCCTGTGTGAGCGAGCTGATGTCTTGGGAGCTGCATGAGAATGTGCATGACTGGGGTGTGTTTGTGTGGCTCTTTGGGACCTGAGATCCTAAAGGTACCAAGGCTGCTTCTGTGCAGGGCGGGGGTGGGGTGCGCTGGGTACGCCCCATGTGACACCACATGCACGAGTGTGCCAGGCAGGGGGATGGCCGTGGGTGTGTGCTTCGGGGATTGTGGGTTGACAGGACCATGCTCAGGTGCGATGGTCTGTGAGGCTGTAGAGGTTGTGGTTATCTGAGAGTACTGAGGCAGGTTCTTGGTCCTGTGTCCAAGGGACAGGATGGACCCTGTGTGTGTGTGTGTGTGTGTGTGTATGTGTGTGTGTGTGTATCTTCCAGCCCAAAGGTCACCTGTCTGAGCGACCGAGGCAGGCTGTGTGTGGTTGGTGTGAAGGCTCAGTTTGGCTAAAGAGCTTGTTGTGGGAAGCTGGGCCAGGGGGCAGGGGCAGGGCCCCTCTGAGCAGCCTTGGTGCAGGGTGGATGCTCTAGAAGGGTGGTCAGCTGAGGCTCAGGGTTCCTGGCAGGCAAGACCGTGCACACCTCACTTCTTGGCCCCAGTGGGCATGTCCAGGGCCCATCACTCCTGCCCCCGGCCATTTCCACCCCCCATTTCAGCCCCTGTCCATCCTTCCTCCTTTGCTTGGCTTTGAGGTTAGGGGCCGGGTGTGGGGTTAGCACTCCTGCTGGGCCTCTGGCTCCTCTTCTTGCGGAACTCGAATTCATCCACGGTCCACACGGCCCCTTTCTCGCTCTCCACCCGCACGAAGCACTTGTGCAGGCTTAGGTTGTGGCGGATGGCGTTCTGTGGGAGGAAAGCCCACCAGGCCAGGGGTAGGGGGAACGGCTAGGCAGTCAGCCTCTGAGGTCAGCAGGACCCAGCCCAAACCGGCGTCCCAGCCCTTCCTGACATGTCTACAAGCCCCCCACCACCACGCCACTCCTGAGCTTGGCCCAGCACCCCGGTGACATTAGAGGCCCTCCCAGCCACTGCCACCGCCAGAAGAGCTTACCTTCCAGGTGGCAGGGTGGTTTCTGAAGAAGGCAAACATGCGTGTGAACCAGTGGTAGATCTCATTGAGTGTCCGCTGCTTCTCGGGAGCCTCCAGGATGGCCTAGAGGTTAGGGGGTCAGGTGGTCAGGGAGCCCTTCCCCTGAAGTTGGGCTGAGAGTGGCAGTGGCCCACCTTGGGTGTCTGACAGGAGTGGAACTGGGGTGGGCAGGGGAAGAGGGAGGGAGACGGTGTGCGGTGATAGGTCAGTGACAGAGTTAGAAGTGGGGTGAGGTGGAGAATCAAGGCTGAGGTCGCAGTAAGGTCTGGTTCAGGGTAGGCCTGGGATTGGGTTAAAGGTGTGGGATGGAGTTGGAGCTGGCCTTCTCCACGGGAGCAAGACGTCAGGGTTTGGGAAGGTCAAAACCCAGGAGTAGGGCCAAGTTAAGGATGTGGGAGTGGTAAAGGGCCAGGCAGAGTTAAAGGTCAGCAGGGAAGGGGCTGGTTAAGGGTCTGGCTGGGGATGGACCGGGGCGAGTTGAGGGCTGAGGGATGGGATGGCATTAAGGTCAGGAGTCCGAGGCGAGCCTAGTGATGGAGTTATTTTCTGTGTCAGGCATGTGCTTAGAGTCAAGGTCAAGAATGAATTTGGTTGTATGTGGTCATGCAGGGTCAGGGCTTATGTTAGGTGTGGAGTGAGGCTAACGGTCAGGGAATTGGATCTGTTTGGATTTAGGAGTGGGGTGAAGGAAAGGGTGGGAGATTACCACCACAGTGAGGTTCTGGGTCAGGGTGGGGGGCCAGGTAGGGGAATGTGTGTTGTTGTGGAGGGGTTAGGTGTGGGCCTAGGATGAAAGTTCTGGGCAAGCATTAGGGAGATTCAAATGAAGGGGCTGGGACTGGGTGAGGCCAAGGGTCAGATAGGTGTCACAAGGAAGGGGTGAGAGGCAGGATCCTGCCAGCTTATTGGGGTATGTGGGGGCTGGGGAAGGAGTTAGGATAGTATCTGTGGTGGGTTTAGGGCAAGGGGCAAAGATCAGGGTCATCTGGGGGCTATTTTACAGGTCTGGGAGGGGGTTAAGTATGGGGTCGAGGTGGGCCCCTGGAAAGGGGTGGGGTGAGGGCCAGAATTTGGCTCACACAGGCCTGGATAGTGGTTTCGGTTTGGGTTGAGGGGCAGGTCTGGGGTGAAGCCGGCATGAGGGCGGGTGGGGAATCCTGTGGGAGGCCTGGGTTTGTTCATGAGGGAGCCTGACCTGGGGGCACTTGGAAGGAGGCTGGGAATGTGAGAGCCTGGTGCTCCCCTTCCTCCCCCTACCCCCATTTCTTTTCCTTCTCCTTGGCCCACACCGCCTGCTTACCCAGCGGATGAGGGTGGCATAGGTGAAGGGGGGCCGCATGTTGTGGAACTTGAAGTAGTCCATGTTGTGGAAGAATTCTGTAGGGGGTGGGGGAGGATCAGGTCCCGTCCTGGAGCTCCTCGCTCCCTCTTCCATCCCCCATGCTACAAGGAGAGGCTGCCCAGCTGAGATCCCTCACTGCCAGTTGTCACCCTCACGGTGACCATGCTGAGCATTGGGCGCTGATGTGTCATTTATTGCTTGTGCTACTTGCACCAAAATGGGCCTCATTGTCACCGAAGTTGAAAGGAAGTGAAATAACTTGCACACCAGAGGGATTCAGGTGGCCAAGTGGCAGAGGCAGGATGGCACTCAAGGGCCCTGATCCCTCTTAAGCCCACAGCCCAGGCCTTGCGGGCAGCCCCTGGATCCATGAGCTTGGGAGAATCCCCCCGCTTTTCCTTGGAGGGGGAAGGGAGAGTCTCTGGGGAGTGAGGGGAGCTAGCTCCCTCCCTGCCCTCCCTTCTGACAACCAAATGGAGTAGCCAAAGCCCAGACTGAGTGAGCCCCAGGCCCCAGGGGAGATGGGGCTAGACAGGAGAAACCACAATGGGGGGGGTGGGAGCAGGGGGCTTACAGGCCTTGGAAATGCTTAAAAGCAGCTTTGGCAAGGGGTTGTGATTTCCCAAAGGCTGAGTGGCAGTGCTGGGGAGGGTTGGTCCTGGCTGTCTCCCACCCCAGGCCAGTGGGGGATGAGGGGCTGGGGGTAGGGTGCGTGGAGGCTGGACCACGTAGGGATGTGGACCATACTTACCTGGGAATGTGCTGTTTCCATGGCTGCCCCAGAGGTGCCTCCTCACAGCGAACAGGCCGTCAGGGGCCTCCTGGGGGCTGGGCCACGCTGGGCCAGTGGTGACGGGAGTGCCACTGGCCACGATGCAGCATGAGCCCTTGTCCGATGACACCTACCGGAGGAGAGAAGAGAACGGCTGGTGATCCAGAGGCTTAAACTTTCCACTTCAATTTTAAATAAGTTTTTTTTTTTTTCCAAAGCGAGGGAGCTCTCTTCCCAATTCCAGTCTGATACAGAATCCGACAAAGCAGCATTGAGCTGTATGATGCCGGGGCCACGAGCTGGGGCTGAGTTGGGCTCCCTACCCAACTGTGACCTTAACCTTAGGGATGATAGTAATAACTATCATGAGTGGCTTCACGAGGATTTGATAAATTAATCCCAGCAACGTGCTCAGGAAAGGGGCCTGGTCCCCAGGGCCAGCTTCACGGGTGTGTGGCCTGTGTGATCACAGGGGTCCATGCCCTTTGTTTACTGCTCTGTGGGGGTCATCTTGAAACCCGGGCCCCATGTGTCTATTTTGCACCAGCCCCTGCCCCCTGGGTGTTACACGGCCAACCCCGCCCACGGCACTGGCTCTGTTGTCCAGTAAATGCTTGGTGATTTGCCGTTGCTTTGAAAATTCAAGGTCATGATGTTTTGGGACCTTGGAGGGTAGAGGATTTGTAACCGAGGGGAGAGGTTTCCAGGTCTGGGCGTGTTTGGAGCTGGGGATGGGGGGCACAGAGTCCCAGGGCGTGGGTGCGAGGGCAGGTCCCCTCCGCCCCCTCCAGCCGCCTGTACCGCTTGTGGGCCCAGGGTGGCTCACCGTGGATGGGGCTTTGGTCAGGGCCATCTTCCCAGCCAGGTGGGCCTGCATTGCGCCCAGCTTCTCCTTCTCCAGCACCAGCTGTGAGGACAGGCGCAAAGTGAGGCCTCAACTTGGCCTTTCTCTGCCGCATCCTGGCTCAGGCTGTGATCCTCCATGGGAGTGCCCTACCCCCTCCCTTCCTTTATGCCAGCCCCCGTCCTGGGTGAGCTTGGCTCCTGGCACAGGGTAGACGGAAGGCTCGCCCATCATCCCCCAACCACCCCTCTCCTCCATCACCTGCTGCTCCAGAGACTGCACCACCTCCCTCTGGAGGAGACACTGTGCCCTGCCCTTCTCATCTAGGAGATGGTCCGCCTGGCAGTGCCTGGGTAGGGGGAAGAGTCCACGTGGGTGACCATGGTGGGCCTGGCCTCCCGGCTCACCACTCTGAGTGAGGAGGGCCAGACCTTTTGGGAGGTCTCTCCTCGGTGCCTCAGCCTCCTCCACTCTCTACCTCAGTCTCCCTCTTACACCTGCTGTTCCTTTAACACACGCTACTTGGCATCTCTGGTGCCAGGCCTGAGCTCGCCACTGGAGCCTGGCCAGGGTGCTGGAGATGATGTTGGAAGGCTCGTGAGCTGAGAGGTAGGCGAGGGCAGGAGAGGCACTCCAGGTGGGGAGGGGTGGATAGCCTGTGCAAAGTCATGGTCGTGAAGAGGACAGGGTGTAGAATTGCCACTGATAGTTGGGTATGGTGGGAGAAGGGGTGTGTGTGTGTGTGTGTGTGTGTGTGTGTGTGTGTTGGGGGAGGCAGCAAGAGTCACTGTGAGAATCTGGAACTATGGGGATCAATGAAATCGGGGGGGGGGGGGTAGGGGAGCAGAAGCCTGGCTGCCTGGATTCAAATTCCAGCTCTGTGACTTAGGAACTGGGTGATCTCGATTAAGACACTTAACTTTTTTATGGCCTCAGTCTCTGTATCAGTAAAATGGAGGTAGGTAATAGTATAAACCTCTGTTATAATGCCCCATTACACAGATGAGGAAACCAGGGGCCAGAGAAGCTAAGTAACTTGCCCAAGGCCACACAGCCAGTGAGTGGGATTTGAATCTATGGTCTTAGCCTTTGCCTTTTGTCTCATCACTCTGTACTGAGATGAGGCCTGAGCTGAGACCTGTACCACAGGCCTTTTCCCACACACTGGGGACCCTCCTGGACTAGTATGAGCCTGGGTCACTCACTTGAAGAAATCCTCTGGCTCCTCAAAGACCTTCTCACATCCGGGCCACTTGCAGACACCATTTGCCAGCAGCGAGTAGGAGCCCTGGGGCACGGTCGAGAGGGCACTAGGAGGACAGAAGGTGTAAGGGGAGGCAATGGCAGAGCAAGGGTCCTTCCCAGCCTGGTCCACTGACCTGTCTTTCCTGGGTGTGCTGGGGCTTGGGAAGGTGCAGAGCAGCGCGGGCTCCCTGGACACCCACTCCAGGCTGGCCACGTTGATCCCTGTGGGTGGGGATGGGGTACCTTTGGGACCCTTAGGCTGGTCCCTCAGGCTTAGCCCACAGAGACTCTCATTTTGAACTTCCTCCTGAGCCTCTCAGGCCCTGATTCCCAGGGACTCTGTTGGCCCTAACACCCAAGGCTTCTTGGGGAGCAGCTCAGAGGCCGCCATTCGCGAGCACTGACATTTCGACTGCAGAGACCTGCGGTTCTGTGATTCGTGCCCTTCTGCATCTTTAAGGTTCTGAGCCTGACATTTTTTGGAGGCTGGAGTTTCCCAGATGATAAGACCCGATGCCTCTGACCTCCTGAGGGCCGCCATTCAGCAGCCTACTCGGCTCATGTTCACGCCCTGGGGGGTGGGGGTGGGGCTTGGGGTTCTGTAGAGCTGCAGGATGGGGGCTGTTACCAGGTGGCAGGCCAGGCCGGGCCTTGAGGGAGAAGACACTGGTGGCAGCAGTGGGTGGCGGCAGGCTGATCATAGCTGGGCTGTCCAGTGGGCGAACCTGCAGCACGGGGGTCCGAGTGTGGGTATCCACCGTTGAGAGCTGGGGGCACACAGGGGCTGTGGTTCAGCCTCCCCCCCGCTGCGGCATCCAGTTGTCCCACCTGCTCCCGCCGCCCTGCCCATTCCCGGTCAGTACCTGGTGCATGAAGTGTGGCCTGTCCTGGAGGAGGGCTTGCAAGTGGGGCGAGGGGCCCAGCCGTGCCCCAGAGGGTGCCACCATGACTAGGGGCACTGTGGGCAGCTGAGGGGGGAGAAGGCAGGCGTGTGAGATGCCATCCTTATCCTCACTTTTCTACATGTCTAGTTCATACACTCCTCGCCACAGCCCCACACGGTAGGTACTCTGACCGTCCCCATTTTACGTATGTGGAAACTGAGGCTCAGGGAGAGCGAATGACTTTTTCAAGATCAAACAGCTAATAAGTGGCTGAGTTGGCCTCAACCCCGTCACCTCACCTCTCTGGGCACCAGCCCTCTCCCTTGTCATGTGGGGATGTGGACACAGGGCCATGCCTGTGGGACCATGATAGGATCTCCTCTCCTGAGACCGGGATTAGGAGGTCGGGGAGAGCCTTGAATCTCTGAGACCTGCTAACTGGGGACTTTCTTGGCCCCGCGACATCTGCATAAGTCACAGACTTGCCTGGGACCCAGAAAACCACTTCCTGTGCCCCAGCTGGGCCCCCCGCCCAGTGCCACAGTAAAGGTCGGCACCTGTAGGCCCAGGTACCTCACCCTGCCTGCCCCATCCTGGGCCCTGGGCCTCACCTGCAGCTGCGATGGTGGCATGGGGTTCAAAGAGGAGGAGGAGGAGGCATGGGCCCCGCCTCGGAGGTCCCGGCCCTGGAAAGTTGCCCCTGGGCCCTTGGCCCCAAGCAGATCTGAAGCCTTGGGTGTAGCCCTCCAGTTGGGTGAGGCTCCCGGGGATGGGCCAAGCACCAAGGAAGGGGCCGAGGGCTTGGCTGGCCTGGGGTTGGGCATTGAGTCCTTGTCCGAGGGCAGGCTGTGGGGACATAGGGGGAAGGAGTTACACGTGTCCCCAGTGGTGGTGTGAGCTGCTCGACCACTTGAACCCTGTAGACCACCCCTCGCCCCGTGCCCCGGCCAGAGCAGGCATCAGCTGGGTCCTGTCCTGGGCTCCACGGCTGGACCCCAGCTCCGATCATGCGTACGTGTGGCACACACCCATGCATACACTGGTGTTGGGAACGCAGATGTGCGTGTGTCTCCGCACACGTCCCAGGTGCAGACGTGCCCGGCTCTGGCACTCAGCCTGCCCGTGCATGCTGGCAGAGTGCTGGTGGTGATGTGTCCTCCACAAGGGAGGTGGGGAATTGGGGTTGTTTCTGGGGCCTCAGCCACAGGCAGGTGTCAGCTTTTCTTCTCCCAACTGCTTGGGGCTCATCTCCAAGCCTTAGGCCCCTGGTCCTCCCTGCACTATACACAGGGCATACAACCTTTGCTGATCCTGCTAGGACTGGCTTCTGACTCTCTGGGTGGCATTATTTTATCCCAGTGACCTGGCATTTACAAGAGTGGAGGGGGGCATGGACTCAAGGTCCTTCTGGCTGCGGGGAGAGGGACAGACTCTCGGAAGGTGAAAGTAGGGGTACTGGTGAGGAGGCTCCTGTGACAGTCCAGGCAAGTGACAGTGGTGGCACAGACCAGGATGGTGTCCGTGGAGATGGTAAGTCGGTGGATTCTGAGTGTGCTTTGAAGGTGGAGTCAGGAGAATTTGCTGGCAGCTTGGATGTGGTGGGGGGTGGTGAGAGGGGGAGGGTCAAGGAGACCTCTGGCCTGGTATTTGCCTGAGCAAATACATCTTCTGAGCTGGGGGGAGCAAGGTTGGGGGTGACGATCCAGGGGTGGATAGACACGACGAGTCTGGCATTAGGCACACGAGTGGAAATACTGAGTGGGCAGTGGAGGACGGGAGTCTGGAGCTCAGGCAGGGGCGGGGTCTGATCATCTCTGGGCTCCTGCCTTGCACGAAGCTGACATGGCAGGTGCCAGAGAGCAGGGAGAGCTCAGGTCCCCTGAGCCAGGGCTGGTGGGAGCATCTTGACTCAGGCCCCACCAGCGTTTACCCCAACTCTGCTCTCCAAGCCTGCACTCCTACTAGATGCTGTGCCTGGAATGTCTGCTCTTCCTCCATATCCCCTATCCGAACCCCATCCAGAAAGTCCTCCATAATGGCGTTGGGCTCCTTTGCTGAGGCCCAGAACTGAACACTCTGTGACAGGCAGGGCTTCTGCTTCTCAGAATCCCAGTCTAAGAGGAAGCTGGAGCTGGAAGGGACCGCCTAGTCCAACCACCACTTTACTGAAGGGAACGCCCAGGTGCGTTCCACAGTCCCACGGCAACTTGAGAGCTCCCTGTCTTTCTCCAGAAAGTGTGTGTGCGTGCATGTGACTCCCCACCGCACAGCACTGGGTTGGGCACACAGCTGCCGATAGTAGCCCAAGCTGGCACAAGGGGGGTTTAGGGGAGCAGCTGCACCTTCCTTTCTTTGCTGTCAGCTCACGGGATTGTCAGGAGCTCTGGCATGGAGGGAGGTGGGCGTGAGAATCCAGGTAGTAAACTCTTAGTCTCTTGGTGCGGGGGTGGGGGTGGGGGCATTACATTACTGTGTGAGAAGCAAGAGCCTGGATCTGTGGAGGCTCAGGACTAAGGGACCATGAGGAGGTGAGCAAATGAATGAAGGTGGAGATCAGGGAGAGGCTTCTAGAAGCCAACGCATGCCAAAGACTGCCAGCAGTCCTCCAAGAGCTAGAAGGGAGGCATGGACAGATCATCCATTATAGCCTCAGAAGGAACCAGCCCCGCTGGCACCTTGATCTTGGACTTCTGGCCTCCAGAAGTGGGAGACCATAAGTTTCTGTTGTTTAAGCACCCCCCAGCTTGTGGTAAATGGTTATAGAAGCCTGAGTAAATGAATACCAACTTTGGTCCATGAGTGGTTGGTCTCCGCCACTCTGGCCTGGCCCAGACGGCTGGCCCGTGGTCACTTCTGACGGTGCTGGGACACTTGGCTGGGGCTTAAAAGAAATCTCTTCCTCAAACATATCTGGAATGTCCAGCCTCAGGGAAGCACAGGGACATTCTCAGAAAGGGGACATAGATACGGTCTGTCTGGTGGTGGGGAACCTGGAGGGCCGGGCTGGGCAGCCAGCTTCCTGCATTGTCTGTTGGGGCGTCCCTTTCTGACTGTTTCTCAGAAGCTGCATGGAGGTTGTTTCTGGGACACAGAGAGCGTTTTCATATCGGGGTCTGCATCTGGGCCCTGTTGTCACATCCCCAGATTTTCCGCCATTGACGTCATGGCGGCCGGATGCGCAGGGCTTCATCGGCACCAAGGAGGAAGAGAAGGGGGTAGATCCCCCCCACTGGTTTCGTTCCGAGAATTGGCTGGCCCATCCTGCAGCCGCCTTGGCCCAGGTGGGAGTGATGTGGGTGCTTGCGGATGTGGTGAGTGACGTCCATCTGGCCACCATGACAAATCCTGGGCCCTGTAGACTTGGGCCATGGAGAGACCAAAGGTTTGATGCTTGGGGACTACCACGCAGACCCTACAGCTGTTGGGACCCTGGGGGTCTTCAAATGGTACTATGCCAGAACCTCCGAATCATAGAACGTCATTTCTTATGTTCAAAGGATCCCAGAGTCTCAAACCCCCTCTGTGAGGGTCCTTGGGTCCAACTTCACAGATGGTGAAGGCCAATGTCAATGGTGTCCAAACTCACTGAAACTCCCTGAAGGACAGGCAGCTCACTACCTCACAGGGTCTTTGGCCTTACCAGGCTTGGCATTGTAGGAAGCCTCTGCCTCTTCTGCCTCTTCTGACAGTTTCCCTCCCAAGTTCTGTGACAGCAGACTCCCCTGAGCCTGGGGTTGGGCTCGGCCATTAACTAGCTATAACTCTCCTCAGGCTTGCATGTAAACTGGGACAGTAATTGTACCCCTTGTCCAAAGTTAATGCACATGAAATGCTTAACAAAATATCAGTGATGGTAAATGAACACGTGCAGGGCCTCAGTCTCCCTGTTCATTCTGGGACCATGTTCCTGTACTCATAGCCATTCCACAGGAGATGGGGAGGAAAGGAGGGGGAGCTAGAGGCCAGCATGCCTTTGGCTAGGGCCTCTGGTGGGGGACAGGAAGAGCCTTGGCCAGTAGGGAGCCCACTGCCAGGCTCTCTGGAGGGGTCCCTGGGTGGAAGTTCCCGGGGACCTGTGCCCACTCTGGGGATATGGTTGAGCTCTATCCACAACCAGACCCACAGACAGACTGGCTGACTTACATCCTTCCAGTATCACTACCCTCTGGCCACAAGGCCTTCTGAATCATGGGACCCTGGGACCCCACCCAGACTAGCTCTTAGGAGGTTGGGCTCCATACTGGCCCATGTGGCCACAGAGCCTCCTGCCTGAGTAAGGGTCCAAGTTGTGAGAAGGGAGAAGGGGGAATGGCAGCAGCCAGGGGGCAGCTCAGCTCCCCCTCCACCCCTCATGGGTGCTGAGAAGTAAACTGAGGCCCACAGTGCAGGGGAGAGACAGAAGCAGGGTCCTGCCAAGAGTCCCACAGTCTGAGTTTGGGTCTTAACTCCACCATTCCATCCCTGTGAGGCCTTGGGAGAGGCCCTCTTGCCCATCTCCAGGCCTCAGCTTGCTCCTGCGTACACTGGGCAGAGAGAGGCATGGAGGAGATAAGGGCCAGGGCCCTTCCACTTTGTGTCTGGGGGACCTGCTACATGTCTGCAGGGCATCGAGTCAACAACAGCCCCTCCAGCCAGGGGACTGGCTGAGAGACAGGGATACACAAAGAGACGGAGACAGAGAGAGACAGACAGACATAGGGGAACACAAAAACCCAGAGAACAAGAGATACAGAGAGATGGAAGAAACATGAGGTGGGACAGAGATACACAGAGAGTGAGAGATGCTGAGGGAGGGAGAGAGAGAAAGAGAGAGAGAGAGAGAGAGAGAGAGAAAGGAGGGAAGAGGAACTCAAAGGAACAAAAGTCCTAGAAGTATACACAAGGAGGGAGACAGAGAATGAGAGAAACAAAAAGAATAAGAGAACAGCACAGGGAGATGGGAAGAGGATGAGGTAGGAAGAGGGAGAGGGGGAGAGAGAGGGACAGATGTCCCAAATAGAGATAGAGACAGAGACAGAGAAAGAGGGAAACGGTGTGGGGGGGGGGGGGGGAAAGAGAGAGAGAGAGAGAGATGAATGCCCCAAATAATAGTAGTTGTTGGTCTCTGGCTACAGGAACTGAGGCTGCATCAGATAACAAGGAAAAAAGAAGGGCAAGATGCTGGCGGGGCTGGGTGGTGGGGGGCGGCCCGTGGTCGGGGGATATATTGTACTGTGAAGCAGCAGTCAGCAAAGTGCCATGGCTCAGACACTGGGGAACAGAACAAAACAGAAATCTCAATCACAGACGACTGTCTAGAGGCAAGTGAGTTCGTGATAAATGTGTCATTTCAACCTGGGAGACAGCGGAGGCTACACTATTTGACAAATGCTTCTGGGAATATTAAGGGAAAGATAAAGTTAGTTAATGAATAATCAGTCCATTTTCCACACCAATTCCTCTCTGCCCAGTTTGAAATGTCACCAGTCAACATATACCCTGAAACACATTCCAGATTTATTAAAGAGATAAGAAAGAATATTTTCTTGGGTTTCTTGTATGCCAGCCCTATGCTAAGCACTTATGTGGTTAATACATTTAATCCTCACAACAACTCTTTGAGGTAGGTGCTACTACAATCATCACAGTACATACGAGGAAATGAAGGTACAGACAAGTTAAATGCCTGGCTAAAAATCATACAGATGGCTTGGGGTGAGGTTGGGTTTGTCCCAGACAGTCTGGCTCCAGTACCCACACTCTTAACCTCCACAGCAAATGGAAAAAATGAAGCCATAAAAGAGACTAGAAGCCAACATAGGTGAACATTTATCTCATTTTCAAGTGGGAAAGGACTTTCTAAGCACAAAACCAGAGACAGTAACCACAGAAGGAAAGAGTAACCCATTTGTCTATATAAAAACATCATAGCATCACAAAACTCCATAAACAAATAGAAAAAGTGAGAGATGAATTGGGGGAAAACATCTGCTATACATGTATGCCTATTGGAAGGTTAATATCCTTCCTAAATAAAAAGCTGTGACAAATCAATAAGAAAAAAAATGATGAGCACTCCATTGGGACTAAGGATATGACCAGACAACTTAAGAAAAAGTACAAATGCTCAATAAATAGTGTAAATAATCAAAGAAAGCAAATGTCAACAATGTGATAATATTTTTTCTTACCTGGTATGCTGAAAAAGGATTTAAAAAATGATAATACCCACACAGGGCTGGCTTGAGTACAAGAAGCATATAACAGGACAACCTTTTAGAAGAATGATTTGCAGAGAGGGTCAGACAACCTTAAAAATGCACGTGCCTCTTGTCTCAGCAACTCCATTTTCAGGAATCCAAGGAACTAATCAGGGATGATTATGGGGGAAAGAACTAGAAACAACCTGAATGTCCAGGAATTGGCACTTGGTCGAACAAATCATGGTTCACACCAGTGTGAGGACAGTCTTGACAGCCACGAAAGATCATATGTTGAAACAATTTTTAGTGATCTACAAAAACGCTCCTATTAATTGAATAAAGCAGGAGCAAAACCAATAGAGAGAGTGGTTCTAATTTGGTTAAAAAAAAAATACTAACAGCTAACAGTGAGCACTGCTAAGCCTGCAGAGATGAGCTTGCCCCAGCCCTGAACAGCCTGCTTGGTTCCTGGACATGGACTCTGGACACACACACACACACACACACACACTCACACACGCAAGGTCCCAGGGTAGGACCACACAGCTAAACCATGACCAACAGTGGCACAAAGTACCCCCCAGGAGGTCCCCTCGTGCCGTGCAAGCCCAAGTTCAATTAAGCGCTCAGCCTGACCCAACAGCTCACTATCCTCCGTCGATCGGGGCAAACAGAACTGATGCTCACTCTGGTAAAATGGAAATGTCCTCATCGATGTTAGTCAATCCACTATTATTAGGCACCAACGGTACAAAGCTCTGTGCTGGATCATGGAGTGGGGGAAGGCCGGTGGGGGAAGGCTAGACAAGAGAGCAGGAGAGACAGTGGGAGAAAGAGGAAAGAAGATAGTGGGAGTGTGGTGAAGATGGAGGAGACGGAGGCAGGGAAGCTGGGCAGAGCCAGAGAAAGGGCGATGGAGAGTCTGAGTGCCAGGGAAACAGACCGGGAGACAGAGCAACACGGAAAGAGGGAGACAGGATGAGTAGACAGAGAGGGATGGGAGCTATCAGGAGACAAGAGACGTAGAGGAGGGAAGGGTGTAGTTGAAATTTCCAGTTACACCTGGACAGTTTCAAGTTGTTCAAAGCTCTGAAATTCACAAAGACTGGCAGTTGGCCTATTTAAAAAAAAAAATCCTGCCCATCTACATAGCAATCAATTTATTTATCATTGCCTCTGCCCACGCATTGATCAAGCACTTTCCTAATCAGTCTGCCGGCATTTATTATTACTATTATAATTGTAAAAAAAAAAAAATCTCTTACCTGACTGGAACCAAAGGAGCTGTCTTGCCGGTACCGGAGGTCCCCTGACCCCCGCCCGGTGCCTGCCTCACTACCATCTCCTCCACTGGACCCGCATCTGATGGGGGAGAGCGGGGACACTCACCTTGGTGAAGTGGACTGACAGAAAAGGATCAGCCTGGCTTGTGGGAAACTGTCACATATCAAAAACAACTTTGCTTTTATACCGAGAAGAAAAACCACGGTGTGGAAGCCACAGACCTCTCTCTCTCTCTTCTAATAATCCAATTTTTTTTTTTCGATGAGTGTGTGTGTGCTGATCATCACGGGGTGGGGGGTTCTCATAGTTTTTTCTGTCTCTTGCTCTCTCTCTCTCTCTCGCTCGCTCTGTTTCTCTTCTTCTTGATTATGAGACTTAAACGGAAATTTTGAAATTTTGGGTTTTTTCTTTGCCCTTTACGAGTCATCTGAAAATATGATTTCTTCCCCTCGCCACAGAGGTGAGAGGTATCAATGAGATAACAGGGCTCATGAGAAACCACAGTTTTTTACACAAAAGTGTGTAGAGTTAGAAAAAAAAGGGGGGGGGGACTCAAATAAATCACGGAGGTGTCCCAAGCAGGCAGAGACACCACTCTGTGAATGTGATGGGACAAGAAACACCAGGGAAAGAAACTGAATAGGGCTGGGTTTCCAGAGACTTTGCCCTGCTCCATGCCTCAGTTTCCCCTTAAGCAGAATTGATATGGTCATCACTGTTCTTACTGCCCAGGGAGGGGGAGATCTGCAACGCGTCTCCCTACAGAAGGGGACATGGAAGTTATTTCACAGAGGAAAAGGCAGGGAGTCCCTCTCTATCTGCCACAATTTACAGAATCTAACAGTCTGAGAATCACTAGCTTCCAGAATCCACTTAGCATCACTGAGCGAGGAGAGGGAGAAAAGTCTCGTCTTATCACGCCGTAAGGTCTGAGAGCTCTAACCTGGAGGGTACCCTACAGGGAAGGTCCCAATGAGGCCCCCAGTGTTAATGCATCTGTCCTCATGAAGCCCAGAGGCACCTTAGGACCCCGACCCTCTCCTACTCAGGGACACCACGATCTCAGTCTTTGCAATTCTCTACTTTGAAAAATCCCAGTTTCCAGGGTTTTTGGATGCCAAGTATCCACCATCCTCTCTGTAGCTGACATTTATCTGTAGTTTTCCCCGGGCCAGACACCGTGCTGGACAAGTCTCCCGAACGATCACGTTCAATCCTCACCACAGCCCTTCTCGGTCCATCTTGTCATCATGGCCGTTACACAGATGGGCCAAACAGAGGCGCGAAGTAGTCGACGGACTTGCCCAAGATGACAGAGCTGGCAAGTGGGGACTCTGCCTTCTTTGGTGCCGGACGGGCTTAAAAACACCCAGGTTTCCTTGGGCCCAACAGTCTTGGGTCTCAAATTCGAGGCTGCAGTGACAGGGAAGTTCTGAGATTTGGAGATTCCTCAGGGGAGGGGGGGCTTGAAGCTTGTGAGGTTTTATGGTTGTCCAAGAGTTGGCAGCTGCATTTCCTTACTTGAGCAGTAACCCCCTTGAGCAGAAGCCCCAGGCCCCAGGGACTTCTCCCGATAAGTCACGGCTGTGGCTCCCAGTCCCCGGCTCCTCAGCACCCTGCGTGGCCCGGGGTTCTGCCATCCAACATCTACTCCAAGCCCTCTGCAAGACTGACTTCAGGCCTGGGGAAGAGAAATTGGAAACCGTTCTTTATACACATGGTACAAACCTAGTGGCCAAGACCCACCCCTTTGCCCCTTCACGTTCCCCCCCACCCCCGCCGCCCCATTTCCCAAGCCCTAAAAAAAAATCCTTAACTATCCTTAACTCTGACTCACCTTTCTGGAAAAGCCCAGAGGGGGCCTGATGGTCTGGCTTTGTGAAGATAAGAAAAAAAAAGTGACTGTATATATATATATATATATATATATATATATATATATATATATGACCTAAAAAAAAAAACCAACCAGCCAACAACAATTAAAAAAAAACAACAAACCCAACCCTCCCTACCATTAGTTCAAAACAAAACTTTCACTGGTTGAGGTTTCTAGGTTGGTGGGACACGTCTGAGACCCAGAGATGGCCCGTGTGTGCTGGGCAGCCAGAGGAGGCACCAAAGTGGGATGAGGTCCTCAGGCTGGAGGCTTGCACAGGCTTAACAGGTATGGTATGTGGTTGGGAGCAAGAGGGTGTGCGGCGCTTGTTGGTCAGGAAGGCATTTTGGGGAGCTGCCTTTAGGGATATTTCCAGGCCCAATGACCCCTTGCTCTGCCTGGACTTGGGTCTGAACGTTACTTATACTTCCTGTGTAACCATAAACTAGGCCAATTCTCGAGGTGGAGGCCTCATTTCTTGCTCCAGGACCTGTCCCCTCTTGAGAGAGGGGACTGGTTTTCTTTTATAAGGTCAGAGGTATATCCTCCCTAGACCATCTCTCCCTTACTGTCATCGGCTCCAGGAGAGGAGTGGCCAGAGAAGTAGAGGGATGACTGAGTTAGGCTGGTGCCCCAGGGGCCCAGGGACCAGGAGGCCACTTGAGTGGGGCTCGGGGTGAGGTGATGCTGCTGCTGCTGCTGCTGAGAGCTGGGACCCTTGCAGAGTAAGAGCTGGGGGGTCAGGTGGACAGAGAGGGGCAGAGGTCACCACCTCCTCTCTGTACTGGACTATATCCTCTTGTGTGGAAGGCTTCTGGGGGAGAGTACACAGGAGTACACAGACAGGTCCATGAAAGTCCCCAGAGAATGGGGGCAGGGGGCTTGGGCAGACTCGGGGGATGGAGCCACGGAGATACCTGAGTGGTTCCAGAGGGAACAGCTAGCTCAAAGGCCCTGAGTGGGTGTGTGTGATTTGCTCGAGGTCTACGAAGGTGGTCGGTGTGGTTACAGTGGTGTGAGCAAAAGGAAGAGGGGGAGAAGGTGAGGTCAGAAAGGAGTTATGGGGGTTAGACCCTGCAGGACCTTGTAGCCCACTGTAAGGACTTTGGCTTTTGCTCTGAGTGAGGAGGAGGCCACAGGAGGGTTGTGAGTAGGGAGGCGACATGAACTGCCTTAGGATTTAACAGGATCCTTCTGACTGCTGAGTATAGAACAGACTATAGGAGTGAAGATGGAAGCAGGGGCATCAGACACAAGGAAGCTACTGCAGTAATCCAGTGACTGATGAAGGCATTGGCAGTGGAGTGGGGAGGAGAGGCTGGATTCATGAAACATTTTGAATGGAGAGCACACAGAATTTGCTGAAGGATGAGAGTCTTGGGGCCAGACCAGGACACAGATAATGCCCTAACTAGAAGTAAGAAAAAAAACCCCTCCAAGTCTATCTTGTTTAAGCCCTACTCTTTTGTGTTTTTTTTTTCCTCTGTTGCTTGCAAGTGAACATATTCCTTCCTGATCCGTGACCCCACCCTGGACACTGAGACCTGATAAGGGGGAGGTTACGGGGTGGGGGGGACCTCCTCCCTCCTCAGGATGTCGCATGTCAGCACCTTGCATACAGTTGGTGTTCAGAAAACCCTCCCAGGAGGGAGGGGGAATTTATGAAGGGTCATACTCAGTGGACCAAAGCTACAACTCAGTTCCCACAGGAGGCAGGACCTCAAAGGAGAGTGAATGAGGAAGCCAGAGCAGCGCTTGTGGCAGAGGAAACAGCAGGAGCAGAGATGGGGGACAGAAAGAGGGAAGTGGGGCCACTTTGGGATGTGGAGTGCCAGTGGGGCAAGAAAGGTAGGACTTTGGTTTGTGATTACATTAGACATCTGCCAATGTGTTCAGCCAACTCCTGGCGGCATACAGTCAGGCTCAGTGTTTTGCTGAGCTGAAGTCAGAAAAAGCTCATTTTCCAGAAGAGGTCAATTTTTCATTTGGCCATTCTTCAACAATGGTGACAAGTCCCGGAGAATGCTGAGGGTGACAACCAAGAATATTCTTGCCTAGTGGCATTGCTCAAGCAAAGGATCCGAGGTGGGCAGGGAAGACCCAGTAACTGTGACAGGAGAGTCCGTTTTGCTTTCTTAGACCTCACACTAGGGTGCAGTCTAGGTCTTCAGGGACTCTAGGCATTCACAGCTCTGGGGCAATGAGAAGTCACGAAGGGCTATGGAGATGGTGAGTCCAACCACAAGAGGCATACTCTTCCCAATAGCTGCGTGCATTCTATGGATCTCCGGCCCAACCACCGCACAGCCCAGACCCCCTCCTCTGGCCTCTTTATTGGCTGTTCATCCTTTACACAACCTCCAACACCCCGGTTGGCTTTGCTCTCGGCCGATCCTCCTCCGTGTCCTTCCAGTCCGCTAGACTTTGCAGCCTTTGCCTATTGGTTCATTTCGTGCTAGCACTGCCCTTTGAGGTCTCAACTGCCTTCATTCTGGGTCCCTCATTGGCTATCAACCATCTCTCCTCCTGGCTCCAGCCTTCACCGTCCACTCCCACTGGCCCTGCCCCTCCAGTCCCGCCTCCGAGGCTGTTCTTACACCGCCCCTTGGGTCTCTTTCTAGTCTTCGTATTCGTTAGTTCAGCCCTAGCACCGCCTCTTGAAGGCAGAGTGCAAGCTCACACGACTCCCCCATTGGCCCGCTGTAGCCATTATCTTTTCGTCATCTCCTCTACGCCACCGGCGCGCGGCTCTCCATTGGCTATTCGCGGCCTCTGTCTTCGCGTCCCGGCGCCTACGCAACCAAGGGATCTCCTGCTTTTCTGGCCGCTCCGTTCGCTCCCCGCTGCCCCCATCGCCTGTAGTCATTCCATTTTCCCCGCTGCACACATGCCGTTCCCGCTCACACTCCCCCACTAGCAGTCCTACTTCTGCTCCTTCCATCCCGGACCCCGCACCACCCCCATTTAGGCCTCCCCATTGATTCCCTGATCATCCCGCCTCCTGCACCGCCCACTCTCGGGCATCCCCATTGGCTGCGTGCTTCTCCTGCACTCGCTTCCCCGCTACGTCATCCAGGCGCGGCTCCCTATTGGCTTTCTGCTCTACCTGTCTTCCTCTCACCGCCTACACCCCCCCCCCCCGCCCCCCCCCCCCCCCCGCTGGCCTTCCCATTGGCTGCCCGCCCCTTCAGGCCCTGCCCCCGCCGGTCCCGCCACCGGTGCCGTCGGTGCCGCCGCCGCCGCCGATATGGCGCGCCCGGCCCCTGTGGA